TTTTAAGGAATATTTATTATTAACTATTATTATTATTATTATTATTATTATTATTATTATTATTATTATTATTTTGTTGTTGTTGTTGTTGTTGTTTATAGGAGAGACCTAAAAAGAGACATTCCATTCATAATTCCTCTTCATTCATTAATGTGGATAGTCTACTGGAGGCATCACTAGTCTCACTATCATCACCTATCACTAGTGAGTACACTACACATGTACTATACATGTATTACTACATGTATATGCTCTTTAGAAAATAAATTATTTTAAGTGCAATTTTGAGCTCATGTTCACACATAGAAAGGAGCATAATATTTTATAAATTTTGTGTACATGTACACAAAATTACATGTACATGTTTGTGTACATGTAATCATTACCATTGACCTGATGTACATGTACATCTAAATGTACAGTACATATAACATGTATACATTTGCAATTATTATTATCCTACCCTACCACAGGGCAGGGGCTAAGAGAAGGAGGTATTAGGAGACAATCAACACTAGCCACTGCTTCAATAGCCACACCCACTCAATCCGGCCCCACTGTTACCACGGCAACAGAAGGGGGCGGGGCAGTTCCCAATAAACAAGACATGGCCAGATACCACATTGTCAAAGAACTACTAACGACAGAAAAAAATTTTGTAAAAATTCTCAACGTAATTGTCAATGTAAGCCACACCCCTTTGACTCCACCCATTATTAATTACATGTTATTAATTACATGTACAGGAGTTTATGAAGCCGCTAGGTACTCCAGGACAGAGAGGAGGGCAGTTACTGACTAACGAGAATGTTAAAAGTATTTTTGGTAATATTCCTGATATACTGAGAGTACACACTGATATAATGGTTAGTGGGTGTGGTGGTGGGTGTGGTCAGTTATTGTGTGGTTGTGTAGAATGGACTGGAGGAAAGGATTAATAATTGGGAGAGCAATACTTGTATAGGAGACATACTACTAGGACAGGTACTAACAATATAATGTACATGTACTTGTATTAATGTACTGTACATATATATGTTAATGTATTAATGTATGGGTTTTTACCATGGACTATATATAGCCCATGGCATTTTTTAAATTATCATAACTTTAAAAATTGAAGTCGGAATCAACTCAAACTTCTACATAACATAAGGATATCAATATGTATCAGAAAAGTTAATAAAAATTTGGGTTGCTTTGGGAATTATTTTTTGGTAAAAAAGCATGGGTATTTTTCGGAATTTCAACAATTTTTTTAAATGGCTATAACTGGAAAAATCTGAATCAGCTCAAACTTTCACGGCATAAGGACTTCAATATGTATCAGAAAATGTAACAAAAATTTGAGGTGATTTCGAAGCCATTTTTTGGAAAAAAAGATGGGCTATAGCACATGCTTAAGAAATAGTAATTACCAGTTTATATTTTTATTCATAACTCAATGACTCTCCTCCCTATAGTCTGAGGAGTTATTACGTGTGTATCCTCCATATATAAATTATTTTGAAGTCACTAAGGAGGCTCTCAGTTCCTGTGATCGTCAGTTCCCAAGGTTTCATGCTTTCCTTAAGTGTAATGAGTCCAAACCAGAGTGTGGCCGCCAGACACTATCAGAACTACTGATAACACCAGTACAAAGAATACCAAGGATCATATTATTACTACAAGGTACAATATAATAAT